CCCAATACTATGTATACACTACCTGTATTCATCAAACTATCTTAGAAAACAATGACAAGTATGCTATAAAAGTTTTTAAGCCGGGCACTGGTGGCTCACGCCTGTAATCCTAGCTACTCAGGAGGCTGAGATCTGAGGATCGCAGTTCAAAGCCAGCCCGGGCAGGAGAGTCCTATCTCCAATAAAACCACCAGAAAACCGGAAGTGGTGCTGTAGCTCAAGTGGTAGAGTGCTCGCCTTGAGCTGAAGAGCTGAGGGACAGCACCCAGGCCCAGAGTTCAAGCCCCACGACCGACCAAAAAAAAAGTTTTTAAAATTTTGGGCTGGGAAGGTGGCTCAGTGGTAGAGCGCTTGCCTTGCATGCCTGAGGCCCTGGGTTCGATTCCTCAGCACCACATAAGCAAAAAGAAAAAAGCCAGAAGAGGCGCTGTGGCTCAAGTGGTAGAGCGCTAGCCTTGAGCTGAAGAGCTGAGGGACAGCGCCCAGGCCCAGAGTTCAGGCCCCACGACCGGACCCAAAAAAAAAAAAAAGTTTTTAAAAACTAATAATTCACTTATTAAATCCCAAGAGGTTTATAGTATATTTCTCAACTAATCACATGCTGAGTCACAAAATAGTGAAGGCAAGGATTTGAGAAAATAAGCATGAAACAGGAATTACGAGCAACAAAGTAAATTTCTTTTTGCAGGGGGCCAGTCCTGGGACTTGAACTTGGGGCTGGAGCACTGTCTCTGAGCTGCTTTTGCTCAAGGCTAGTACTCTACCACTTAAGCTACAGTACCACTTCTGGCTTTTTCTGTTTATGTAGTACTGAAGAATTGAACCTAGGGGTTCATGCATGCTAGGTAAGCACTCTATCACTAAGCCACATTCCCAGCCCTGAATTAAATTACTGAAATATATATATATATATATATATATATATATATATATATATGTAAATATGGTATGGGTTTGGTGTGTTGTTTTTTGTCAGTTGTGGGGCCTGAACTCTGGGCCTGGGTGCTGTCCCTCAGCTCTTCAGCTCAAGGCTAGTGCTCTACCACTTGAGCCAGTGTCACTTCCAGCTTTTTCTGCTTATGTGGTACTGAGGAATAGAACCCAGGGCCTCAAGTGTTCAAGGCAAGCACTCTACCACTGAGCTACCTTCCCAGCCCTTAGCATGGTTTTTAATGATTCATTCTACTGGAAGGTAACAGAAAGTTAGATATTTCAATGACCCAAAAAAATCTTAAATCACCTGGTGCTGGTGGCTCATGCCTGTAATCCTAGCTACTCAGGAGATGGAGATCTGAGGATCAGCTCAAAACCAGCCCTAGCAAGAACATCTGTGAGACTCTTATCTCAAGTTAAACACCAAAAAACTAGAAATGGCATTGTGGCTCAAGTGGTAGTGCACTTGCCTTGAGCTGAAGAGTTCAGGGATGGCATCCAGGCCCAGAGTTCAAGCCCCACAACAAACAACCCCCTCCCAAAAAAAAAACAAAACCATAACATTATTCCATTCATCCAGAAGCCTAAAGTGAAACTACAAAGATTCAAATCCACCAGAATTGGTTATTTGTGCTACGTTTCCTCATATGTAATATTGTTAACAGTACCTACTTTCAAGTTGCTTCAAGGACTCAACAAGCTTAACCACATGTACACTAATAAGAGTAACTAGTCTGTTAATACTCAAAACACATTAGGTATGTACAGTTCTTTTTTTTTTTTCTTTGAAGTACTGGGTTTTTAATTCAAATCCACCAACTTGGCATTGCTTGCCCATTTGAGCCATGCCTCCAGCTCTGCTTTTCCTGATTATTTCAGAGATGGAGTCAGTCTAACAGACTTTTCTGCCAGGCTATCTTAAAACCACAGTTGTCTTTTAGTTATTTAAAAATCATATTTTAAGCAACATGGATGAGAAAATCATCAAGGAAATGGAAATTGTGAAATATATACATATATGCATGCATGCATATATAATACATACATACAAGCAGAAATGCCAGATGTGAAAAAGTTAAGCACAGTATAGAGCTGAGAGCATGGCCTGGTATGTTGCACCAGCCTTGTAAGCATAAGGCCCTGAGTTCAAGCTGGGCGCCAGTGGCTCACGCCTGTAATCCTAGCTACTCAGGAGGCAAGATCTGAGGATCATGGTTCAAAGCCAGCCCAGGCAGGAAAGTCCGTGAGACTCTTATCTCCAATAAACCACCAAAAAAAAAAAAAAAAAAAAAAAAAAAAATCATATTTTAAGCTGGGTGTGAGTGGCTCACACCTGTAATTCTAACTCAGGAGGCTGAGCTGTAAGGATCATGGTTCAAAGCCAACCCAGGCAGAAAATTGGAGATAAGAGACTCTTATATCCAATTAACCACCAGAAAACCAAAAGTGGCACTGTGGCACAAAGTGGTAGAACACTAGCCTTGAGCAAAAGAACTCAGTGACGGCACCCAGACCCCAAGTTCAAGCCCCATGACCAACAACAACACAAAAAGAAAAAAAGAAGAAAAGAAAGAAAAAACTCATATTTTAGCCAGCACCAGTGGCTTATTCCTATAATCCTAGCTACTCAGGAAAATGAGAGCTGAGAATCGCAGTTCGGTGCCAGCCTGGGCAGGAAAGTCTGTAAGACTCTTCTCTCCAATTAACCACCAGAGGGGCTGAGAAGGTGGCTCAAGTGGTAGAGCGCTTGCCTCACATGCACAAGGTCCTGGGTTCCATTCCTCAGCACCACATAAGCAGAAAAAGCCGGAAGTGGCACTGTGACTCAAGTGGTAGAGCGCTAGCCTTGAGCTGAAGAGCCAAGGGACAACACCAGGCCCAGAGTTCAAGCCCCACAACCGACCAAAAAAAAAAAAAAATTAACCAGAAAACTAGAAGTGGCACTGTGGCTTGAGCGAAAGGGACAGCACTCAAGCCCTGAGTTTAAGCCCCACAACAGACAAAAATAAAGACTCATGTAAATACATCCTTGGAATTTCATGCATATGTATTCAAATTTTATTGAGCTGGTGATTAATGTTAGTCTGAACTACAAAAGATTTTAACCTTCAAGTTCAAGAAGTTTTTCTAAGTTATCCATCATTCTCTTGGATAACTACATAATTTGAAGGAAAGTAATTCATGAGGTCATTTACCCAGAACTTAATCCATTCTAACAAAATATACTCTAAATTTGTTTTGTTTTGTTTTTTTGGGTCCGGTCGTGGGGCCTGAACTCTGGGCCTGGGCGCTGTCCCTCAGCTCTTCAGCTCAAGGCTAGCACTCTACCACTTGAGCCACAGCACCACTTCCAGCTTTTTTTCTTTTTGCTTATGTGGTGCTGAGGAATCAAATCCAGGGCCTCATGCATGCAAGGCAAGCACTCTACCACTGAGCCACCTTCCCAGCCCCATCTAAATTTGTTTTAAAGTTGACAAATATCACCCATTTTAACATTAAGCCAACTTCTCCTGAATACTATTACTTTATTGGTCAAAGGTCCTTTCTGGTCAACAGTAGTCTCTCCTCATTCCAAGAACACACCCATCATCAGATTATCATGTCAAGCCTAGCTAGCCAATGTAATTAGACATTCAGTTACAATTAGAATGTCTAAGCAGCCACATGTACAATCATAGCTACCATTGGAACAATCTTAGGAAGTCACCATTTAATGTCTAACTCATTCTGTATCAGAAAAAAATAAAAGTGACTCACTTGGATATAAAAATCCAGTCATTAGGTAGGTCATTAGGTAACTTAAAGTCATTACCCTTGAATACATCAAAGTACTTCGTAAATGATGGAAGATTACTGTCTTCATATGCAAGGAAATATTGAGAATTCAAAAACCAGAAACAAATCATACTACTATATCCCAACAAAAACAGTATTTTTCCTCACTTTTGGAATAAAATTCTACCACTAAAGAACTATGTTTAGGTCTAGGAAGTTGGCTCAGTGGTAGAGTCCTTGCCTTACATGCATGAGGCTCTGGGTTGGATTCCTCAGCACCACATCAGCAGAAAAGGCCAGAAATGGCGCTGTGGCTCAAGTGGTAGGGCACTAGCCTTGAGCTGAAGAGCTGAGGGACAGTGCCCAGGCCCAGAGTTCAGGACCCACAACCGACAAAAAAAAAAAAAAAAGAACTATGTTTAGCCTGGTACTGGATAAGATCTAAAGGCTCTTGGTCTAAGGCCAGGGCAGTAGAAAAGTTTTCAAGATTCCAACTTAACCAAAAAACAAGGGCTGGGAAGGTGGCTCAGTGGTAGAGCACTTGCCTTGCATGCTCGAGGCCCTGGGTTCGATTCCTCAGCACCACATAAGAAAAAAGCCAGAAGTGGCGCTGTGGCTCAAGTGGTAGAGTGCTAGCCTTGAGCTGAAGAGCTGAGGGATAGCACCCAGGCCCAGAGTTCAGGCCCCACAACTGGACCCCAAAAAAAAAACACAAAAAACAAAGGGCTGGAAACATGGCTCAATTAGAACATCAGGTTAGTAAGCACAAAGTCTTAAGTTCAAACCCAGCAGCACTCAAATTTTAAGAAAAGAACTAAGTTTAACCAGGCTCCTGTAGTTCATTTACCATTTTAACTACCTGGGAGGCTGAGATTGGAGGATAGCCCAGAATAAAAACTCAAGAGACCTCAGCCAAGAGCTGGGCTCTGGTGAGTGTCTAGACACAAAACCAGGAAGAAAGCAAGTCCCTTAACCAGTGAAAAGAAGTTCTTCAAGTATAGCATAGTGCTAGAGTGTCTGCAAAGAAGCATCTGGACCCAAGTTCAAACTCCAGTACAGCCAAAACAACAGCAACAGCAAAACAAAAACAAAAAATTTAAAGACCACTTAACTTTCTGCTGAAAAAACTGAAGTTTAACAAGCTGCCAAGAAAATAAAACTGAATTATACCCAAATGAGTTGGCTGTATATATAAAATTCCATGTTCCTTTCCTCTAATAACAACAACAACAACAAAAAACCCACAAAAATTCCATCTGTCATTTCAGGTACAATCCTTTCATTGCACTTACCAGCAGCTTGTCCAGTCTTCGCCAGGAGAGACCCCAGTTCAAGGATACTCTGTTCTTTGACCTGTACTGCCTCCTCATCATTTTCCTGAATATCACGTTTCACTGTGGGAGGAAAATAAAAATTTTCTTAAATTTTTGATTAAAAAAAAAAATCTTAGGTGAGAGAAATTCACCCTTACCAAACAGACCATTATGAACTCAACCATGTTTACCAAAATACAAATTCTAATCCTAAAACCCAACACCCCCCCACCAAAAAAACCTCCAAATAAGAACAAAATTAAATAACCATATATGTTCCATGTAAATCAGATAAATGATAGATTCCTCTCTCTGATTTTAAGGATGCCTCATCATTCTATCCATTCGAATTTCCCTTACCCACAGACACTGAGGTTTCTGCTGTGGTCACTTGGTTAAAGCAAAATTGAAAAATTCCCTCATACCTATGGTACATGTTGTTTATATGAAGATGCATAAAACATGCCTATGCTTTACCTGCCACAAACTAAAATCAAATGACCAAATTATTGAAAAATCGAAAAAGTCTTTTCAATAAGGTCAGTGGAAGCTAAACTTAAGCTGACTGTGTGTTAGAAATAAACGGTTCTATAAAGCCCTACTAGAAAAACAACCCCATCAAAGTGTCAGTGATTCTAAGCAATTACACTTAAGAGAGACTGCTGCTTTTTAATGGACTCTGATTTGGCTAAAATAACTTTCTGCTACCTGTCCCACTTTTAACTGTAAATAATTACTCAAACATTTGACCATCAAATAGCCTCTCCAAGTTTGTAGTGTTAATTTTAGTGATCATTACTAGTTGCCACTTCACTTACAAAAGCATCATGACTTGACAAAAACCAAGATTTTGAGATTCCATAATGGAGTCTGGAAAAAGTAAGACTGTCAAGCACCATGACTCAAGCTTGCTCTAACAGGAAAGCTTTCAGGAAACTCTCTGCTAGTATAGTGGACACACAAGAAGTACTCTAATGGTAATGTTTGTCATAATGTCAACTTTTGTGGCACCACCACAAAATAAAATTAGTATGTTCTTCACATTAGTTCTAAATATTAGTGTATGTTCACAGAACAAACACACGTGTGTAATAGTGAATTAGACAATGCTGGTTCTGTATAACTGACTTAAGATCAGCACTTCAAAGATAGACATCCTCTATCAATATCATTCCTTCACAGATGCATCTTAACCCTCACTGTATCCTCTCTAGTATTCCCAAAGATAAGATTTTTCTCATTGTCCTTTCTCCATCCAAGTAAGTCTGAAGCACCAAGATCCAACAGCTTACAAAGTCAACATAAACATAACATCCTGGAAGTCACAAGCACACGTGCATTCTCATACTACTTGTTGATCCAATTCGAATCTTCTCAAGCTACATCTAAAAGATCACATTACGACACCTGCAAGGAAGAGAGAGGAAGCCCAATGCCCTAAGTAAAACTTCCACAAGTGAACATTAAAAGCCTCTCTGTCATAGTAAAATTATTTTCGTTCAAACCTGAATTCCACTAGAAAGCAACTGGCTGGGGCTTCCACTTCCACTTTCCTGTCGAGTGCATGTGTGAAGACAATCAAACCACGGGGTGAAGAGAAGAAATTCTTCCACTCCAGCCCTGTGCAGCCGGCGGGTCCCGCAGAGTTCCCACAACTCCGTGGCTTGACAACCAACTCCCAGAACTTAACTTCCAACCCTCCAGGGGAGTCGGGGAGGCTTAGTCACCTCCTCCAGCCTGGCGGTCCCAACACGACACTTCACCCTCACCCTCTACACGGGACAGAGGGGCATCCCGGCCACCTCCTCCACCCAATGGCAATCCGGGGTGTGTGTGTGTGTGTGTCACTCCCGCATTTTCCACCTCGTTTTCCGCTGAGGGCTGGGAAGTCAGACAGCTCCCAGCGAAGCGTCCCGTGGAAGAAAACTCCAGGAGAAGCGCTCGCGCTCCCACCCCAGCAACCTGTGCTGATAACAACGGCGGGAAATGCCGATCCCGTGGACCCGCTCATCCCGGCCTTGCGGCACCGCACTCTTAGACCAGTTTAGGACCGGCCCGCCGACCGGCACAGCTCCCGGTCCCGGGCCAGCTCGCGCGGGCCGGAGCGGGAGACCAAGCCGAGGAGACCTCGGGGGCCCGGCTGGGCCCACTCGCCCACCCCGCGGTGCATCCACCGTGAGTCAGCAGCCAGCAGGTGGACGCGCGGGCTGCCCCGGGGTTTCCCGCCCGACTGGGACCCCGGGAACCCCGAGCGGCCTGCGCCCCCGGCCCGTCCCCCTCACACACAGTGAGTCAGCAGCACCCGAGCCGGCTAGCCCGGCCCCTCTCGGCTGCCGCCGGCTGGCACAGGCCGAGCTAGGCCGGCGGAGCAGCAGGGACGGCGCGGAGCCCTTTACCGATGGAGTGGAGGATGTCGATGGAGGCCTCCCGGTCGGTGCTGAGTAGAGACTGGGCTCTCTGGAACTCCACCACCGCTGCCGCCGCCATCTTACCGCTCTCACACCGTCCCCGGCCGCGGCCGCCGACGCCGGAAACATATACCCGGAAGGCCCGCCCTCGCGTCCCTCCCCCCCTCCTCCCGCAGCGAGACCTCCCGCCTCCCTCCCAAAGAACGCTGGGAGTTGTAGTCTGTCCACCTGGCGGAGGAGACGGCGAGGGGTGAGGGCTGGGGCACCCGCTGGTGGGCTAACAAGTTGCAGGACACAGCTTCACCAGACCAGACCGACGGCGCCTAGGTTAGTCACCCCGAAAGGGACTTCAAACCCAGGGAAGACCTTTCATGAGTAGTTGGCTAAGTATTCTGTAGGGCCTTCCTGGTAGTGTCCATGTTTAACCGTGCATTTAGGGGCACAGAAGATCTTAGGAATTGCCCCGCATAGGCATTGGACAGATTCAAGCCGGGCGCTAGTGGCTCACGCCTGTAATCCTAGCTACTCAGGAGAACCTGAGGATCGCGGTTCAAAGCCAGCCCATCTCCAATTAACCACCAGAAAACCAGAAGTGGCGCTGTGGCTCAAGTGGTAGGGCGCTTGCCTTGAGCTGAAGAGCTGAGGGACAGCGCCCAGACCCAGAGTTCAAGCCCCACGACCGACAAAAAAAATAATAAAATGAAAATATCTTCATTCATGCAGTACTTGAGGCAGACAGCAACAGTATTGGGGACCTGAACACAGGACTGATGAGCTTGCAAGGCAATTACTCTGCCAGTGGCACCACACCTCCAGCCCAATAATACTGAGCTTAAAACAAAAAGTCTCACCTAAGCTTCTTACTTTAAATAATTAAAATCACATTTTTCTTCCTGTACCTCCAGGATACATTGCTTTAGTGGGCACTACTTTAGCTTGTACTTCTGTTTTATTGCCCCTGTTTTATTCATTTCTCCTTTTGGGTTTAATACTCTCCCACTTCACTTTCATTTGATAATTTGTACTTCCTCAACAAAAATCAGGTATCTGTGAAGATGTCAAAGAAAGGGAAGAGGGGGCTGGGAAGGTGGCTTAGTGGTGGAGCGATTGCCTTGCATGCATGAGGATCTATTCCTCACCACATAAGCAAAAAGAAAAAAAGCCGCAAGTGACACTGTGGCTCAAGTGGTAGAGCGCTAGCCTTGAGCTGAAGAGCTGAGGGACAGGGCTCAGGCCCAGAGTTCAGGCCCCACGACCGGACCCAAAAAAAAAAAAAAGGGAAGAAATAAATGGTTGCTAAAATGATTAGACATAAGGAAGATTTTTTGGGAGGTGTGGGGGCAGTTCTGGGGCTTAAACCCAAGGCCCAGTCACTGTCCCTGAGCTTCTTTTAATCAAGGCTAGCACTCTACCACTTGAGCCACGGTGCCACTTCTGGCTTTTTCTGTGCATATGGTACTGAGGAATCGAACCCAGGGTTCATGCATGCTAGGCAAGCACTCTACCGCTAAACCACATACCCAGCCCAGGAAGATCTTTAGGTGACAATTCAGAAATGGAAATGCTATTTTTTCCTGTTAGTCATGGTGGGGCCTGAACTCTGTGCCTGGGCACTGTCCCTCAGCTCTTCAGCTCAAGGCCAGCACTCTTATCTCTTGAACCACAACATTACTTCCATTTTTCTGGTGGTTAATTGGAGATAAAAGTCTCAACAGACTTTCTTGCCTTGGCTGACTTTGAACCATTATCCTCAGATCTCAGCCTCCTGAGTAGCTAGGATTACAGGTGTGAGGCACCTGTGCCCGGCAGAAATGCTATTCTCTAAAAGGACTTATAAGTGGGACCGACATTGTACTCCTCTATGACTGGATGAGGCAGTTAGTGTATCTATCTCCTTTATTCTACCAACAATGTTTGTTGAAAACAGTACTATTTATTCCCCTTTAATATCTGAAGAAAATGAGTTGGGGTAAGTGATTTAGTGCAGTGCAAATAGTAACTGACAGAGCTGAAAACAGAGAATGTGTTCCTAATTCTTGGATGTGTTCAAGCCAAAAGTGGATAATGTCTCATCAGGTTTTTTTAAATGAGACTCGTGACTGGAAATCAGACTGGAAGCATGGCTCAATGGTACAACAGCAGCCATGAGCAAGAAAACAGAGCAAGGGTTTGAGTTCAAGCTCCAGTACCAGAGTACATGTGTATGCTTAACGTACACATGCATGCATGTACAAATACACCCCCCCTAAAGATAGACAGATGATAAATAGATGAATACTGATTGACTGGTTTAGGAGATTTTCCCATGGTGTCATCCAGGCAAAATCCTAGAGCATTAATATACTTTGTACCCTCACCAAGTCCCTCAGTATATATAAGTCAATGTAGGCTAGAAAACTACCATAGGGCTGGGAATGTGGCTTGGTGGTAGAGTGCATAAGGCCGTAGGTTTGATTTCACAGTACTATATAAATTGAAAATAAAAATGAATAGGTAAAAAAAGAAAACTATCATATACTGGCTAATGCATAAACAATAGAAATTTATTTCTCATGGGTCTGGAAGCTTGGAGGTCTAAGACCAATGACTTGGCAGATTCAGTGTCTAGTGAGGGCCCATTTCCTGATGCACAAATGTGCTTTCTCCTTGTACCTTCACTCAGTAGAAGAAGAAAGGCAGCTCTCTGGGCATCTTCTAGATTCATGAATGCTTTCCCCTAGTGATCTACCCACCTCTCAAAGGGCCACATACTAAATAACATCAAATTGGTGACATATCAGCTGGGCACTGGTGGCTCATGCCTATAATCCTATCTACTAAAGACACAGGGGATTGTGGTTCAAAGCCAGCGCAACAGAAAAAAAAAAAATCCCTGAAACTATCTCTAATAACCAGGAAAAAAAAGTCTGAGGTATGGCTCAAGTTGTAGAGCACCCAATGTGTGCAGAAAGTCAAGCAACACCACCCACCCCTGAGCACAAACCCTGGTACTGGCACAACATTAAGATAATTCAAACTTTACAATTCTTATGACGTTTCATGAAGGTAAAAAGAGTAAAGTAACATGACATGACATGATCTAGACATGAGACTGCACTTGGATGGGTGATCAAGGGAGATTTTTCAGTGGTGGAACACGTTTCCTATCAAAAAGGACCTAAAGTTGATCCCCAAAACACACACACCACTTTATGACTGCATATTGATGTGAATGTACTAAATAATACAAAACTAGCATTTAAAAATATTTAATATGGGCTGGGAATCTGGCTCAGTGGTAGAGTGCTTGGTCTAGTATGCATGAAGCCCTGGGTTTGATTCCTCAGTACCACACACACAGATAAACCAGAAGTAATGCTGTGGTTCAAGTGGTAGAGCACTTACCTTGAGCACAGACAGGCTCAAGGACAGTGCCCATACCCTGATTTCAAGCCCCCAGGACCGGCAAAAAAAAAAAAAATCAACTTTGCAGAATTGTTGAAGTTTAATTATTATTATTTTTATGCCAGTCCTTAGGGACTGGGAATGGTCTCTGGCTTTTTTTTCCCCTCAAGGCAAGTGTTCTACCACTTGGGCCCTAGCTCTGCTTCCAAATTTTTGGTAATTTATTAGGGAGTTTCACAAACTTTCCTGCCCAAGCTGCCTTTGAACTGCAATCCTCAGATCTCAGATTCCAGATTAGCTAGGATTACAGCCATGAGCCACAGGCATCTAGCTGAAGTTTATATTTTACAAAATATACTAAAACACTTCAGCACTATGACTAATACAAGTAAATGTTCAACAAATTATACTTATTAAAATTGTGATTGTTGATTGAATTACCTGATTAACTGACTACTTCCCTCAGAGGGAGCCAGACAAAAGGGACAAACAGATTTTTTTTTTTCTTTGCCAGTCATGGGGCTTAAACTCAGGGCCTGGGCACTGACTCTGAGCTTCTTTTGCTCAAGGCTAACACTCTTCCACTTGAGCCACAGCACCACTTCTGGCTTTTTCTGTTTATGTGGTACTAAGGAATCGAACCCAGGGCTTCATGCATGCTAGGCAAGCACTCTACCAGTAAGCCAATGTGGCCAGCCTGCCAAACATATTTTTAATTAGTGATTTTTATAGTAATTGAAAAGCAATCAATTGTCCTTCCTGTTTACATCTTAGACTTCCTCACAGTCTTGTCTCCCTTTCCTGCTTATCATGCTTCTGTCACCACAGCACCCTCAAAACTGGATACCTCTAACCTCTCCTGTGCTACCCTACATACAAACAAAAGGAGGAAAAATGTCATTATTGAAACCCTTCCCTCAAATACTGCCCCCTGCTGTCGTTTGCTGTCCAGATACCTGATTGTATTTGTTGGATTTTGTTGTGGTTCTTCTTTAATGAAAATGTGATAAACTTGTCCTTGGCTGAAAATGTCTTTACTGTCCTTGAGGATAGGTCAGCTGATTATAAAATTCTTACCCTAACACTTACTCTCATTCTGAATTTTAAATAAAGGTGAATACTTTTGGTCTAAATTTCTTTTATACTCAGAGTACTAGAGTTGCCTGTAGTCCCAACTATACAGACAAGCAAGAGCATATTGCCCTGAGTTCAAATCCCAGTACCAGCACAAACACATATAAAAAAATAAGTACATGACTGGGAATGTGGCATAGTGGGTAGAGTGCTTGCTCAACATGCATAAAGCCCTGGGCTTGTTTTCTCAGTGGCAGTGTGGCTCAAGTGGTAGAGTATTAGCCTTGAGCAAAAGCAACTTAAGAACAGTGCCTAGGCCCTGAGTTCAAGCCCCAGGACTGGCAAAAAAGATAGTTTAATGAATCGTATGAGACTCTAAGAAAGTGACATTTAAGCAAAGACCTGAATAGAGAGGAATGCTCTAGGAATTAAGAACTCTATTGCTTCACAATGCATTTGTTTAATTATGTCATTAATAGGGTGATCAACAGCCATTTGGAGATAATAATGATAATTACAGACTTTTCTGTTCTTTACCTGAAAGGCTTCCATTTTTGTTGATATGCAATTTGTTTCATGCACTTCAAGCACTGATACTCCCAAGAGTTGTCATGTTATTTCTGTCCATCTTTTTCAGATCTAAGAATAACAGCAAAAACCTACCAAGTAC